GTAAACTCCCAAAAACTGTAGTAGAATGGGCTGTACACCTATTTTCTAGACTTCTTCCTACCATGGAATCTTCCTACCATGGTTAGTGGTTGGAGATAATTGTAATAATTAAAACACACACACAAGGCTGAAATGTAACTCAGTGGCAAAGCTCATGCCTCACATTTGCAAAGCCCTGGGTTTGATCCCCAGTTCCAAAAAAGAAAAAAGACAAAGCAAACCCACACACACACAGACACACACACACATACACACACACACACACACACACACACACACACACACACACAGCCTGAGGGCCTACTAAATTTTCAGGCTGGGAAAAAGTGCTGGGGCTATAAACAGGAATGATAATCTGGCCCAGAGATGCACACCTGCAATCCTGGGACTCAGGTGGCTGAGACAGGAGGATCACAAGTTCCAGGCCAGCCTCAGCAACTTAGGAAAACTCCAAAATACAAAGAATTGAAGATGGACCTCAGTGATAAAGAACCTCTGGGTTTAATCCCCAGTACCAGTACCAAAAAAGAAAAAAAAAAAACAAAGGCATAGAGTGCTTCCCTAGAGCATGCTCAAGACCCCTGGGTTCAATCACCAGTGTGAATTTAACAAACAAACAATAACAACAAAACCAAGAGAGCTTCAGGGAAATTGAAAGGGTATTCAAGAGAATGTAATTTTAACCTGATTTATTTTATTTCGATTTTTATTACAATACTGTCAAATGTATTCTATAGAAGAAAGAATAATATGATGAACCCCATAACTCTATCACACAAATCCAACTGTTGAAAACATTTTGCAATCTTTTATCATCTATTCTTTCCTGTTTTCTTTCTTTCTTTTGGTGAATTTCAAAGCAAATCCCACACATCACACCAGTTCACCCATAAATACTTTATGATTAAAAAGACTTTTAAAAACCATAACCACTTAGCAAGACATGTGTCAAGCCAGGTGCAGTGGCACATGCCTATAATCCCAGTGGCTTGGGAGGCAGAGGCAGGAGGACTGTGAATTCAAAATCAACCTCAGCAACTTAGTGAGGCCCTAAGCAACTCAGTGAGACCCTGTCTCTAAATAAAATACAAAACAGGGCTGGGCATGTAGCTCAGTGGTTAAGTGCCCCTAGGTTCAATCCCCAGTATCACAAGCATACAAACAAAAAACATAAGCATAACACCATTTTCAGGTACAAGAAAATCAACAGTAATTCCTTAATAGTCTATGAACTAATCCTCAGCGGATGTTCATATTTTGCAAAGATGCAATGACAATATTTAATAATGAATTTAAGATGGCTAAGGAGAGAAGAAACAGGAGTTGTGTCGGAGTTAGGAACAGTGGAAAGATAGTTAGATCAATAGGTTGCAGGTCCTGAAGGATGGGAAACATTGTTGGAGTCAGGAGCCCATTAAAGTGAGCTGGGAGAGTAGAGGAAATCCCACTTTCCTCTTTGACCATTGTTCAGTCACATCAGTCTTCCAAACTAAAGTGTTGGAAGATTCTGTTTTAATTTCTTCTCTGCAATCTCATTTATCTCAGCTCTGAGCTTGATTCTCTCAGAAGAAACTGCAAACCAAATTAGGTCTTCCTGTTATACCCTAGGTGGGTCTTCTTTGGAGCATTTATAATCACAATTTTTAAACTGTAGGAAAGATCCAGGCACAGTGGCACATGCCTGTAATCCCAGCCACTTGGGAGGCTGAGGCAGGAGGATCTTGAGTTCAAAGCCAGCCTCAGCAACTTATCCCTAAGCAACTCAGAGAGACCCTGTTCCTAAATAAAATCCAAAAAAGGCTGGGGATGTGGCTCAGTGGTTAAGCACCCCTGGGTTTAATGCCTGGTACTAAAAACAAAACACCCAGTAGGAGGGGTCCAGGAATATAGGTCAGTAATAGAGAACTAGTGTGAATCCCTGGGTAACAATCCTGAGCACTGCACTGCAAAACAAACAAACAACGACAATAACAAAAACTGTAGAAAAAATACTTGTTTGGTGTCTAACTCCACTAAGCACCACGTCACCTCTATTCACTACTGTCATTGCCGTGTTTAGTGCAGTGTCAACAGGATATGTTCAATAAATATGTGAGACAGAGGAGGGAGTGTGCAATAGCGTCAAATGCCACATATTTCTATAACCACCTGCACCATTTCCTTTTTTTTCTACCAGGGATTGAACCCAAGAGTGCTTACCCATTGAGCCACATCCCCAGCCCTCTTTGCTTTTTATATTGAGACAGGGCCTCAGGGCCTTGCTAAATTGCTGAGGTTGGCATTGAACTTGCAATCCAACTGCCTCAGCCTCCTGAGTTGCTGGGACTACAAGTGAGTGCCACCACGCCCGGCCCACAACGTGTTTTCTAAGATTACCATATTTCACCTCATAATCGTGGTCATCCAGTTTTTTCAGTCCAATTTTTTTTTTTTGTACCGGAGATTGAACTCAGGGGCACTCGACCACTGAGCCACATCTCCAGCCCTTTTTTGTATTTTGTATTTAGAGGCCGAGTCTCACTGAGTTGCTTAGCACCTCGCTTTTGCTGAGGCTGCCTTTGAACTCACGATTCTCCTGTCTTAGCCTCCCGATCCCCTGGGATTACAGGCCCGCGCCACCGCGCCCGGCGTGGTTGATAACTTTTTATTGCATTATCGTCGCACGGTATAATTCAGTTCGTCGCGCCGCTTAAAAGGTAAACGGAGCACCAGGGACTTCACCAGTGGCCTACGGGAATGTGCATTTGTCTTCGCCGGCGCTGCCAGCTTTCAACCTAGAATTCTCAGCGCATGCGCTGTGTCCGTGCATTGCCAAGAGAGTCGACTAGCGCGGGTTGTTTAGAGCGCTGCTGTACCGAAGGTACTGTCACTCAACCCAACCGAGGGCTGTGGGTGCAAGGGCAGCGCGCCCAGGAAGCTGCCAGCAGACGGGGTATGTATGGTTCAAGGTGCATCTTCCTGTGATATAAACTTCACTGCCTCTTGCGATACTTCAATGTGCAAAGCATTTCTTGCTGGTTGTGGGTAAATATGAAAACTATTGTGCGGGCTTCAAGCTGAAAGTGATTAAGTTGGCTGAACAGCATGGAAACAGCTGCATGCAGAGAATTATCGGTGAATGAAAAGTTGGTTAGAGGGCTGGGGTTGTGGCTCAGTGGAAGAGCACTTGCCTAGCATGTGTGAGGCACTGGGTTGGATTCTCAGCACCACATAAAAATATATGAATAAAATAAAAATCCACTGATGTTTAAAAAAATTTAAAAAAACAAAGAGAAAGGTTGGTTGGAGACTGGCGGAAACTAAAAGACTAGCTGAAAACCACAAATCTTTCTAGATGCAAGGTTCGAGGTCCTAACAGGGGCAAGTTTCTACAAATTGATGAAGTGTTTGTATACATCAACAAAATGTGTAACCATAACTGCAGTGTATTGTACGAAATGTTGCAAGAGGGAGCCCGCAAAAACAACATTCTTAAAACTCAGTTTTAGGCGAGTCAAAACTCAGTTTAAGACGAGTCGAGGCTGGGTTATGAGACTGATGCAAAGATGCAATCTATCTATCTGTGCGAAGGAGCCGCTAGGATCAGAGTGCGCCACCACGCCTGGCCAACATATGACCCAAATTGCTTGCTGATTACAGTGAAAAATTGTAGCCCTGCAGAATCTTCAGAGACAGATTAAGTTTTGTAAATTCATATTTTGCAACACTAGTAAGTTTTCTCAATTGTAATATTTCAACTATAATACAAATCAATAACAACTAATGTGTTAACTTTTTTCTTTTCTTTTCCAAACCAGAAAAATATTCACTATCCGGGAGCGGTGGCGCACACCTATGATCACAATGGCTCAGGAGGCTGAGGCAGGAGGATCACAAGTTCAAAGGCAGCCTTAGCAAAAGCAAGGTGCTAAGTAACTCAGTGAGACCCTGTCTCTAAATAAAATACAAAATGGGGCCTGAGATGTGTTAAAGTGCCCCTGAGTTCAATCGCAGGTACATAAATAAATAAATAAATAAATAAACAAATAAATAAATTACTAAACTGTTTGGAAGAAATGATGTTCATTGATTTGGACTATTCAGTTTAATGTATATTTACAAGTATTCTGTGCATCCTAATCCTGCTTTAAAGACAGTTTAATAATAAGTGATGTTTTATTATTTTTACTTTGATTTTGTGATACAAGAGACTGAAGCTAGGGCCTTCCTTGCACATGCTAGGCAAACACACCACCACTGTTACACCCCTAGCCCTGTAATAAATTATTATTATTATTTTTTTGTACCAGGTATTGAACCCAGGGGCACTTAACCACTGAGCCACATTCCCAGCCCTTTTTTTATGTGTTTTATTCAGACAGGGTCTCGCTGAGTTGTTTATGGCCTCACTAAGTTGCTGATGGTAGCTTTGAATTCGTGATCCACCTGCCTCAGCCTCTTGAGCTGCTGGGATTACAGAGTGCGTCACCACGCCTGCCCAATAAACGATTTATTTTATTTTTTATATTTTATTTTTGTCTTTGTTTTGTTTTTTTCTTTGTTTATTTTTATGTGATGCTGAGGATCAAACCCAGGGCCTCTTGCATGCTAGGCAAGGGCTCTACCGCTGAGTCACAACCCCAGGCCGCAATAAATTATTTTAAAGTAATATCAGCACAATTTTTTTCCTAAAAAAAACAAAAACAAAAACAAAAAAAAACCCTTCATATAATTCTCGTACCCCGCTTTTTTGCTTAAAAAAGGCATATAATCTGCGATGATTATTCGGTGAAATACGGTACATTGAGTCCCTTGTCCCCGCTGAAAGCTCTAAAGATTCTTTACCAACCTAAATATTCTGATTAAAAAAGAACCGATCAACCTAAGTTTGGTCTTAAACAATGCGACCATCCTTAAATCCTCTTCCTAAGAGCACCAGGAAGGGGCGGGTCCTGCGATTAGACTTGCGTGCGAGATTGCTTCAAGAGGCGGATCTTAACCCCTCAGAACGGAAGTTCCTGAGCCTTCAAACCCGCGGGGAAGCAACTTTGCAACGGACCAACATGGCGGCGTCCAGTGAGGAGCAGGCGTTTGCTTCAGGGGTTGAAAAAAACTGGGGTACAGTAGTCCGTTCCCCAGAGGGGACCCCTCAGAAAGTCCGGCAGCTGATAGATGAGGGGATTGCCCCAGAAGAGGGAAGCGCAGAAGCGTGAGTTCTAGAGTCAAACCTGGCTCAGGCACTGGGAGAATGGAGATGGCTTGGGGAAGATAGCCCTGGAGCAGGGGCGGATGGTATTGAGGTCTCCTCGATTGGCGACTTGGTCAGTAGGGATGAACAGTTATTGGGACCAGAAGGAGACTGAGACGGCTGAGATAGGTCGACTTAGATCTTCTCAGGATGTACCTGATTTCGCACCACGGGAGGAATTTTGCCATAAATTGTTCTTGGAAGGAAATATAAAAAGAACCGTTAGTTAAGCTCACAAACTTCTTTAAGTTGGGGTTCTTAGTCTTTTTTTTTTTTTTTTGGTGTGTGTGTGTGTGTGTGTGTGTGCCGTAGGCCATTTGACAGTATGGAGATATGTTTTTAAAGTGCTTAAAGCAAATAGGGGATTATAAATGAAACCCGTTATGTTGGAATGTAGTTATCAAGACAGTAAAAGAAATTGTTATGCATAAGGTGCGTTTTTTTTTATTAGAGTTAAATGTTATCTGTAAGTATGTCTACTATCAAACGGTTCTGAAGTAGTAAAGAACATCAACTGTATTTCGAATTATAGCCAAGAACCATAATGTGAGAAAATTGTTTTCATTGGTGACAATAGTTATTGTTCTTGGTGACAGATTTGTAAGTACTGCTTATACTGCGGGTTTTTGTTGTTGTTTTGTTCTTCTCTCATAACTGAAGAAAATGTTGAATCTCAAAGGTTAGTGAACTCAGTGCCGTTTTATTCCCAACTTTATGGACGTTTTGAATTTTGTCCAAGAGGGGCTCGGAGTCTTTGAGGAAGATTAGAAAAAAATTGCTTCTTTGAAGCTGTGATTGTTAGTATAACCCAATTTTTATTAAAATGATACTTGTCTCAGCAATTCCAACAGGGACCTCTACTCCCAGGCACCCTTGAAATGGCTTTCATTGAAAATAAACATTGCCTGGCTTTTTTTTTTTCCCCCTCTCTGTAAAATTTTTTCATGAAGTCTCTTAAAGATCCTTACTTTGATTTGAATTGTTTAATTGGTTATTTTTGGAATGGAGCCATCTTCAAAAGAGTCTATTCAGATAGCAATATCAGAGTTACTTTTTCTCCTATTATAACATTGCATTTCAGATTGTATGGTGAATACCTGAGGACTTCAGTTCTTATTTTGTGATTACTAAAATTGTGCCAGGTACTGTTGGAGAACAGTGAGTGAGCTAGGAGAATAGCTTGTTGGTATTAGCAGAGTACTGTAGAGGTGGAAATTGACTGAAAATTAGATATGGCTAAACTGTAAAGAATTGTCGATGCTAAGTTAAAGAATTTGGAATCTGTTTAGTAAATGTTATAAAATGATTTGAAAAAAAAATATTGACACCAGGAATTGAACCCAGGGGTGCTTAACCACTGAGCTACATCCCCAAACATATTTATTTATTTAGTATATATATTTATTTGTTCTAATTAGTTATACATGACAATGCATTTTGACACATCATACATAGATAGAGTATAAATTCTCATTTATTTGGTTGTACATGATGTGGAGTTACATAGGTTATGTGATCATGTACGCACATAGGGTATTAATGTCCCATTCATTCTATTATCATTCCTACCTCCATGTCCTCTCCTCTCCCTGTTTATTTTTTATTTTGAGACTATGTTGCTGAGGCTGACTTTGAACTTGCAATCCTGCTGCTTCAGCCTCCCCAGCTACTGGAATTGCAGGCTTGAAAAATAGTAAGCAGAGGAATAACATTTCTGAAATTATTATTTTTTTTTTGAAAGCTTAAAATTCAGTGTTGGGCGGGGCTGGGGTTGTGGCTGAGTGGTAGAGTACTTGCCTAATATGCATGAAGCACTGAGTTCTATCCTCAATATCACATAAAAATAAAATAAAGATATTTTGTCCACCTAAAACTAAAAAAATAAATATTAAAAAAATCCAGTGTTGGTATGATTTATGGTGATTTTCAGAGAAGCTAGATATGAAACATTTAAATAGAGTGGTACCATGAAAAGATTACCAACAATTCTATCACTTTGTTTTAGGAGGGATACATCTGCCACATTCCAGTCAGTTAATGGATCACCCCAAGCAGAACAACTTCCATTGGAATCTACAAGCAAAGAAGCCTTCTTTAGCAGAGTAGAAACATTTTCTATATCCTTTTTCAGTACATGTAAGTTGTGCTTTCTACCTGTTCCTGAAATTTTTATTCCTTCAGGCCATTACATCACTTACTCTGATATTTTAACTTGGTAAGAACTTTTATAGGAAAGTTAACATCATAATGTATTATCAATCAAAAGGAATATTTGAGATTATCTGACCTCCTCTTTTTACAGAAGAAAAATTAAAGACCTGAGAAAAGGAAGAATAATAACTAATACTTCTATAGTGTGTTTTCTATAAATTACTACATTTGCTCTTCATTTTAAGCCTTTGAAAATAAGTATTATGATTACGATTATTATACATTTTACAAAGGAGGAAGCAGTCATAACAATAGGTTATATGACTTGCCCAAAACAGCCTTCTAGCAAATGGCAGAGCCAAGACTATAGTTTAATTTTTAAAAAATATTTATTTTTCAGTTGTAGTTGGACACTATACCTTTATTTTATTTATCTATTTATTTTTAGGTGTTGCTGAGGATCAAACTCAGGGGCTCGCACATGCTAAGTGAGCGCTCTACCGCTGAGCCACAACCCCAGTCCTTATAGTTTAATTTCTTAAAGACTGTCCTACTCCATTATCTCTTTCTAGATTTTCCTTTGTGTGTTAGTCCTCTGTTGTTACATAAAAAATTGCTTTAAAACTTAGTGGCTTTGGGCTGAGGTTGTGGCTCAGTGGTGGAGCACTTGCCTAGCACATGTAAGGCACTGGGTTCAATCCTTAGCACCATAGCAAAATAAATAAATAAAGGTATTGTGTCCATCTACAACCAGTGGCTTAAAACAACAAACATTATCTCACAACTTTTGTGGATTCAGAATCTAGGCAAGACTTAGTTGAGTCTCTGGCTCAGTTTCTTACTGAGAGTGCAATCAAGGTCACCTGAGTACAGTCATCTCAAAGCTAAGCTAGGAAACGATCCACTTCTACCCTTTCTCATGATCGTTAGCAGGGTTCATATTCTCGTGGCTATTGGACCAAGCCTTCAGTTTTGTGCTGCCTGTCAACCAGAGATGACCTCTTGATTTCTTGCTGTGCAGTCCTCTCAGTAGAAACAGTTCATGACTTGACAGCTGGTTTCCATCAGAATGAGTAAGCAGGGGAGCAAAATGGAAACTATACTCATTTTTGTAAATTCATCTAAGAAATGGATGCTCTGTCTCTATTAACTGGTGGTAACTCTGCAGGAATCATAGACAGAAGGTGGAAGAAATGGTGGTCCACTCCAAGTACACCTTTTTTGATGACTTTGTCACCCCATATGCAAGGACCAAAAGGCCCAGCTGCTATTTTTTAGAATTTTTATTTTTGTAGTTTTAAAATAGTTAATTTTGTCTCTAAATTTCCATGGGGGATTG